GGTGTGTGAACACTGACAGGTGCGTGACTAGTTTGACAGGTTTAGGATCGTTAGTGGCTTAGGACTCTGAACGTTCAGCTTTTTGAAGTTGCTGCTATCAACTGTTTTAAATTACTTCTGATAATACACATGCTGGCATATGTGCTGCATGTAATAAAAGCTTGATTACAGAAAAGTCTTTTAATTAGCTGTTAACATGCAAGGTCAAGTGTTCAGAACTGTTCCACGTCTCTGTAGCAGTAATGTGTCTAGTTTGTTTCAACACATTCCTAGATGTTAAGGCCGGAAAGGACCATTAGATCTAGCCTGACAACACAGGCCATTGAATTTCACTAAGTTACTCCAGCATTGAGCCCAATAATTTGTTTGACTAAAGCATAACTTCCTGAAAGGCATCTGGGCTTGAAGATCTTGAGAGATGGAAAATCCACCACTTCCGATCGTTTGTTCCAGTGGTCCATGACTAGGGCTCCTAGGTGCTACAGGAATACAAATGATCACCTGCACTGTTAAAAAATTGTGCCTTGTTTCTAATTTGAATTTGGCTTTAACATCATGCCATTGGTTCCTGTTTTGCTTCTCCACTAGATTAGAGCCTTTTAGTAGCTGGTGTTTTCTCCCTTTATGAAGGTACTTATACACTGTGATCGAGTCACCTCTTGAGCTTCATTTTGAGCTCGATCTGTTTAGCTTAAGTCTCTCACTGTAAGGCATCTTCTTCAGCCCTCAAATAGTTTTTTGTGGCTCTCTTTGCACCCTGTTTTTCAACTTTTCAACATCCTGTTTATAATTTGGACATCAGAACTGCACACAATATTCCAGTCCTGGTCTCACCAGTGCTTCCCTACTTCCCTGTTTGTATATCCACAAATTGTATTTGTCAGTTTTGCCATAGCATCGCACTGGGAGTTCATGTTGAGTTGCTTGGCCATTGTGACTCCTAAATCCTTTTCAGAGTCACTGCTAGGAGACAGTTCCCCATTCTGTAGGTGTGGCCTGCATTCCTTGGTCCTTGCAGTTGTGGCTATATTAAAACCATTTTATTTGCATCAGCCCAGCCCACTCAGCAATCCAGATGACTCTGTATGATTGCCCTATCGTCATTATTTACCACTCCACCAGTCTTTGTGATCTGCAACACCATAAGGGTAGACAAGGGCAAGCAGGGGGTTTACATTGATTGAGCTAAGGGGAACCTGAGCTAGCTCTCTTGGTGCAAACTCTGGCTTGCCCTTGTTGGTGCTTGGGAGTTGGCACCAGTGCAGCTACACCATTAGCTGAATTGACGCTGTTCCTGGGTTCATACGTAGACTGCGTCTGTGACTGATACATGTGTGAAAATGAATCAGGATTGAGGTTTGTGACTATTGCAGAAGTAGGGCAACGTTAATGAAAGTACCAGATTTTTTTGGCACTTCAGTTAGGCCCTCTGCCTGGCACTTCATGCCATGCCTAAGCTGTAAAAGAGAGCTTCATCTTCTTGTGAGTGATGTACATTTTTTTATCTGTAATGTATCTCCCACATGCTTCCTGTGCCTCTCACCTGCCAGTCCCACAAAGTGACAACAGACAGAATGTTCAACAATAAATCCCAAAGCCTTCACTCATTTGGAGGCTGCTGATTGTTCCTGAATGCCTCTAGGCACTGCTTATTCAGTTCAGAGCAGTGTATCTGAATTAGCCAAACAGAAGTGAGCCAAGAACTTGCTTGCCTGCCTGCAGTCATTCCCCCTCAAGCTGTGATTATCAAATATCACAAGCTAAGCAGAATTGAGCTGTGCTGGTATGTAGGGAAATCCAGGTACTGCAGGGTGGAATATTGAGGGACGAGTATCATATATCCCTAGAGTTTTTACTGTGCCATTATTCTAGCACAGCGCTAGAAGGTGCTGCATTATTTGAGAACTTTTCGTTGAGATATTAAAGGGCTTGACCTGTGTGGTCAAAGATCCAATGATATTTTGCAAGCACATTCTTTCTACCTGATTTTCCCCCTGCATTTTGAATTGGATACAGTATTCTAAACTTCCTGTCCTAAGCGGTTATGTATTGCTGTCGTGTGCCGGTTTACAGCTGCTGTGTTCCAACTCAGAGGGGTTTGCCTTTCTGTGGCAGGGAAGTGGGTTTTCCAAAATTAGTAAAGTCTGTACAATTCTAGGGGTTCATTGCATGAAAGGTGCCCCATTAGTGCAAGTTCATTCTTGCTTAGAGTTGGAGGGTTGTAGAGAATTGGGTAGTCATAGCTCCAGATACTTAAAATCCAGCTTGTTTTACCTGTTGACTTCTTGGGATCTCACTGTAGAAGTGAGAAAACATCTCTACTCTGCCATCCATCGCAGCAGGATATGTTATTTTCAGCACTTCAGTCCTGCTGATCCAGTCTTTTTTTCCACTCCAGAGTTGGGGCAAGTCCTGGTGTGTTAGAGAATGGTGTTGCCAAACAACACACAAGTGTCTGAGAAACACTGAGAAATATATAGTGACCTCTTCATTATTCTTGTGCCCATGTGATCCTGGCAGAAGTTCTGTCCCTCTGGGATTTTGCTGTGTGGAGAACCAGAGCAGATTCTGGAATGATATAGTTCTTGTTGGGACTTGGTGTTCTGTGACCAGATTTCTAGAGCCCTGCATGGATGCAAAATTTGTAAATCCGCATCTGATCTGCAAAAATGGTTCCCATATATCCTCATCCACGGATATCTGCAGATTTGCAGGGCTCTACAGATTTCCCCGACAGGGTACAGCTGAGGTGACCTTGACAGCTATCCTCCATTAGCTCAAAGATATTTGTTTTACGTTACTTGTGTTAGGGATAATGAACTTGAACAGATAATGAGGCTGGATTGAGCAAAATGTGTAGAGGTTGGTGGTCTCATCCTTTGGAGCTTCAGGATCCTTTAATTTGGCTGGTCATTATTGTCAAGTGAAGGTATAATACTTTCCTCTCCTTGGGGTGCTTCTAGGTCACAGCTTCTGTTCCCTGGCTTCCAGTGCCACTAAAGTCTGTAACAGCCATGTGCACATCCCTTGTAATGAGTTAGGAGGTGGTTTCTTGTGTTCAGTGTGTCATGGAAGCCCCTAGTAGAGAACCCAAGTAATTTAAAGTATAAGAGTGGAGTTTGCAGGCTACAAGATCTTCTCCCTCTAAAGGAGTTATCCATGGGCTGCCCTTTGGATGGATGTCTGCCATATTATTCTAAGCCCAGCTGCTCTGTGGGCTGTCACGATGCTGTATAAGTACTTGAAGGATGGCTCTCATGGGCTTGCAGAAGATGAGAGCTGTTAATAAACAGAACTAAAATAACTGCAGAATGCAATTGAACCATTTTAATTTCTCAGCCACACTCTGCATAGGGCTGGTTCTTAGATTGAGATGTGCCATGGTAAAACTATCACAGTCACCAATCAGAAGCCTTTGAGCTGTTTGCTGCCTGATAAAGTCTATGGCTGGATTATTCAAAGGGGCTGGCAAGAGGTAGGTCCCCAAATACCATTGCAAAAACTCTTGAGAATCCCACCCTATATAGTTACAGGGCTTTAGTTGCTAAATTTCTGAGTTTAGAGGTATGGATTCCTGGCCAGGAAGCCAGCACCGCCTGCTGAGTTGAGATCAGTTCAGCCAGAGAAGACATTTGGGGTTTTTTGGAGGTTGCGTAAAGTCTGAGACAGGGTGACACAGTATAGTGGGATTGTGGGGGACACCCTTTCATTTCTTCTGGTGGTGATGTGAAGCTGCTAAGATTTAGGGGATTATAGGTGGTGTGAGTAACATGGTGCCCTCGCCAGCTATATGAATAAGAAGTTAGGTTGATGGAGGAAGAAAATTTTTTTGTTTTGAGACTTGTGAAGTAGGAAACTGGCTGGCTTTTATACAGTTTGCCCTCACAAATCCGTCTAGCTTTTTCAGTTTATCCATGTATTCCACTCGCTGAGGGGGAGATTCCATCCTGGGATCCCAGGGCAGTCTCCAGGCTCTGGGGCAGTTTATCCTGGAGAGTCTGGGTTTAGAAACAATGTAATCACTCTCTCATTAAGGAGGGAAATGCTAGTGCTTGTGGTAGCGGTAATCAGATAGCACTGGGTAAGACATGGAGTAAGCAGGAGTTTGGGGAAACGTCCTTCCCAAAGACTCCTCAATCCAGAATTGCCACGCTCCCCTTGCTGTCCTGTTCTTGAGCGGAGGCTGCTAGTTGGCGAGGACAGGGGTCTACTAAGACAAGGTCACTTTTGCTGTTGAGCTTCCAGGATTAAGTTACTTCCAAAGAAACCTTTTTTTTCAAGTTCTGGGCATGCTTGCAGTAATAACTTGAGCCAGGCGGCCCCTTTCCCAATAAGTAATTGTGGTTTGTCCTCCAAATTTGTTTCTTAGGAGCCTAGAGGAGAATGCAGGCTGTAGTGCAGCAGCCATTCTCACACCCCTTGAAGAAATAGTTCCTGTGACAGTGTGCCGAATAAGTGCAACAGCTAGCTAGTTGAGATTCAAATGGCTGCCTCTTGAAGGGAGCTGGAGCCTGCTGGGAGCACAGCTGCTGATCCACCCTTCAGAGATAAGGGGACCTCCTTTAGAGACAAGTAGCCTCTTTGTTATATTCATTTAGGAGTGGTCTGTCATGTAGGGTACGTCTTCACTACCCGCTGGATCGGCGGGCAGTAATCGATCTATCGGGGATCGATTTATCGCGTCTCGTCTAAATGGATAAATCAATCCCCGAACGTGCTCCCCGTCGACTCCAGAACTCCACCAGAGCGAGGGGCGGAAGTGGAGTCGACGGGGGAGCCGTGGCCGTCGATCCCGCGCCATGAGGACCCGAGGTAAATCGATCTAAGATACGTCGACTTCAGCTACGCTATTCTTGTAGTTAAAGTTGCGTATCTTAGATCGATCCCTCCTCCCCACCCCCCTACCCCAATGTAGACCAGCCTTTAGTTCAGAACAGATCTTAACCCTCTGGATGTGTCTGGTTATTCTGTCCTTCCTTCCCCTTCTCTTTGAATTGCAGACTCTGGGCTAGTCGTCCCAAGCGTCTCTTATGAACTGCACAAAAAGGTGCTTTCAGTAGCTGAGAAACATGGGCTGACTCTGGAGCGCAGACTGGAGATGACTGGGGTGTGCGCCAGCCAGATGGCATTGAGTCTGCTCGGAGGACCCAACAGGTAAACAACCAAAAAATCCCTGCTGTGAATCTCCCCATTTGCCTTGTGAATGGAGTTTACGGAAACCAGCTTGTTCATCAAAGATGTGGCCAAATGAAGTTGTATAAAGTAGTCTCCAGTGAAAATCTTTGTAACTGTCACAGTTCAGGACACTACACCTGTCCAGCAAGGGCACCTGGCTCCCAGCCAATGTTTTTTCACACCCGAGTGAGAAAGTTGCAGCGCTGTAAAGTGCCAGTGTAGACAAGCTCATACAGTTCCACAATAAAACATAGACAGTTGCATGTTGAATATAATGGACCCCAATAATGTTAAATTTAATTTTATAAAGTTTCATTTAATTCAGAAAGTTCATTCAGGATATTGCAGGGTATTGTCGATCTATCACAGTAACTACTACATCGTACATACAGGGCCATGCTAATCCAGATGGCCAGATGTGGCTTTGTCTAGATGCTCTCCCTCCTTGTCTGGACACAGCAGCACTATTCTAGCCTGTTATGCAAACCCACACTGTATTCATGCGTCAGTCCTCAAATGACCATGAAAATGAGACAGTAATCCAGATGACCTAAATGTCAACCGAGGGGAGAGCTTTGCCTATAGTCTCACTTCCTTATTGTCCCTCCCCCTACATTGTATGTATATAGAGCACCAGGAAACCCTCTTGGAGAGACCATCCTTATTCCAGTACTCTGGATGTATTGATTTACTCATGGCTTCGCCTGGGTTTCTATATCCCAGAATGAGTAATGTCCCTTGGTCAAATACAAAATCAACAGAGGAGGGAATAAAGAATAACTCAATTCCTGGTGGAAACTTTTTCAGAGAAGCTAACTCAGGGAAGACGTAACTCAAGAAAGATGAAAACACTTATAATTTCGGATTAGCTGATCCTTTGCATGAATAACGAAACCCTTCTTTTGGTATTTATTTTAAATGTCATATTTTTAAAGGCAGATGCCAATAAAAACAAAACTCAAGAACTAAGAGGAATGCACCATCTAGTTACAATATCACTTAGGTTTTTTTTTAAACTTGAATCCAGTTTGGGAGTCTTAATCTTTTCCTGGGGCCTAATTTGACAAGAGGTCAGATATGCAGTTGGTCCTGTCTGCATGTGTGTGCGCGCACACCCCTTGTGTGAGCAAATACCTGCCTTCAGTGTGCAGTCACTAACCAGTCAAGTAGACACATAATTGCAATATACTTTTAAGCCTGATTTACGTGACCCTAATGTTTTAAGGTATTTTCATCCCACTGGAGAGAGAGCCTTAACTCCCGCTTCTGTTGTATAGATAGTGCTGCACCTCAGTCCAATGTCTCACAAAACATTGTCTACACAGCAGCAGCGCTTTCCCTAACAAGTGATGCTTGCTTATGCCCTGAGAACATTCATGAGCCTGCCTTGGTGGATAGAAAGTAGACACATCCACTTAATCTGTTATTGCACCTGAAACTGGTGGTGCAGGGAGGTAATAGGAGTGCTTTAAAAATATGGTAGTATGAATTGTTTTCTACCTTTTAATGTATCTGATCGGTCTGAGGTGAACCCTAAGTTCATGGTGGCATTACTATGCTTTAAAAAGCTCTTAGCCATTCATTCCTTTCTTGGGTTCAAAACAAGCCCATTGAAGAGGGGCAAAATGGCTCTTTTATTCTCACTGTGTTGCACTGTATGCTACTATAGAACAATGGTCTCACAGCAAAACCCCATAAAAAGAAAGCCAAACAAAGGAAAAGGTGAAACCATGGAACTCAAACCTGCTTGAACTGCAACACCTTCTAAGCATCCAGTGGAAGTGCCCCCTTGTTTTGAAACAGAGCCCTTGTGGACAGGGTACTGATGAGATGAATAGAATATTGCTGCAAGGTTCCAGAGTTTTGCTGTCTGTTTTACCTTCTGAGGAAACACTGAAGTGGAACAGGTAGGTCATCAGTAATTTCCCAGTGCGTGTGCGCTGGACAGAATGAGATGCTGTCACAGCATATATATGTGTCTTTCTAGAGCAGGAGAACTCTGGGTTCCTCATCTTCAGATCGTTAAACAACTTAGGGAGATTTCTGGGACCTCCACGCTCTAGATTCTATTGTCATCACTCTCCCATGGAAAGACAATAGAATAGACACTTGGGTTTTAATGGTTTCCCCATCTCCGTGTTTCAGGTTGAATCCTAAAAATGTTCACCAGCGACCCACAGTGGCTCTGCTGTGTGGCCCCCATGTGAAGGGGGCCCAGGGAATCAGTTGTGGACGGCATCTTTCCAACCATGACGTTCATGTCATTCTCTTCCTACCCAACTTTGTCAAGATGCTGGAATCCATCACTAATGAGTTGAACCTCTTCAGCAAAACCCAAGGCCAGCAGGTGTCCAGTGTCAAAGGTAAGCAATGTAAGGCTTTGGTGAAAGTTGGGACACTGAGCAACTTGAAGAAGCTCGTGCTGAAACAGGTCCTACTTATGAGTGCAGCACTGAAGGCCTGCACTGTCGTAGCATCAACAGTTTTCCTTCGAGTGATTGTGCACAGAAATGTTCCGCTGTAGGTTTGTGTGCACCCAATGCACTCGAGTCTCAATGGAAAGTATATGTGCACAACACATCTCGAAGAACAATGGTTACTGTACAGGAAAGTAACCCATTTTTCTTGGAAGGGAACTTGTCTGTCTAATTGAGCGTGTTTATTCTAACACTGTCATGTATTCTTAGTCCAGTGGCACCACTTAGTGGTCACCAGTGGCATTCCCTCCTTTTACATACCTATGGATTATTTGTAGGGCTGTCGATTAATCACACTTAACTCACGCGATTAATTCAAAAAAATTAATCGCGATTAATCACACTGTTAAATAATAGAATACCAATTGAAATTTATTAAATATTTTTGAATGTTTTTCTACATTAACTATATTAATTTCAATTACAACACAGAATACAAAGTGTACACTGCTCACTTTATATTATTTTTTATTACAAATATTTGCACTGTAAAAATGATAGTATTTTTCAATTCACCTCATACAAGTACTGTAGTGCAATCTGTATCATGAAAGTGTAACTTACAAATGTAGATTTTGTTGTTGTTACATAACTGCACTCAAAAACAAACAATGTAAAACTTTAGAGCCTACAAATCCTCTCAGTCCTACTTCTTGTTCAGTCAATCGCTAAGACTAACAAGTTTGTTAACAAGGGAGATACTGCTGCCTGCTTCTTATTTACAATGTCACCTGAAAGTGAGAACAGGTGTTTGCATGGCACTTTTGTAGTCGGCGTTGCAAGGTATTTACATGCCAGGTATGCTAGACATTCGTATGCCCCTTCATGCTTCAGCCACCTTTCTGGAGGACATGCTTCCATGCTGATGATGATCATTTTAAAAAAAAAATGCGTTAATTACATTTGTGACTGAACTCCTTGGGGGAGAATTGTATGTCCCTGCTCTGTTTTACCTGCATTCTGCCATATATTTCATGTTATAGCAGTCTCGGATGATGACCCAGCACATGTTGTTTGATTTACGAACACTGTCACTGCAGATTTGACAAAACGCAAAGGAGGTACCAATGTGAGATTTCTAAAAATAGCTACAGCACTCGACACACCAAAAAAAAAAAAAAAACAACCCTTCTCGGTGGCATCTGACTCAGATGATGAAAATGAACGTGCATCGGTCCACTCTGCTTTTGATTGTTATCGAGCCGAACCCATCATCAGCATGGATGCATGTCCTCTGGAATGGTGGTTGAAGCATGAAGGGACATATGCATCTGGCATGTAAATAACTTGCGACACTGGTTACAACAGTGCCGTGCAAACGCCTGTTCTCACTTTCAGGTGACATTGTAAACAAGAAGCGGGCAAAATTATCGCCTGCAAATTTAACCAGACTTGTTTGTCTGAGCGATTGGCTGAAGTAGGACTGAGTGGACTTGTAGGCTCTAAAGTTTTACATTGTTTTATTTTTGAATGCAGTTATTTTTTGTATATAATTTGACATTTGTAAGTTCTACTTTCATGATAAAGAGATTGCACTACAGTACTTGTATTAGGTGAATTGAAATATACTATATATTTTGTTTTTTAGAGTGCAAATATTTGTATTAAAAAATAAATAGAAAGTGAGCACTGTACACATTATAATCTGTGTTGAAATTGAAATCAATATATTTGAAAATGTAGAAAACATCCAAAAATATTTAAATAAATGATATTCTATTATTGTTTAACAGTGCGATTAATTGTGCAATTATTTTTTTTAAGATGAGACAACAGGTGAATACAATAGACAGATGATGTGGGGGGAATACAAGAAAATGACGAGACAGTACTGATCAGCATGACAAGCAGCAGTTGCAGCACACCAGCTGCCTAACCAATGGCACATTCTCCAAAATGCCCATCCCCTTTCCAGTTTTCTTCTTCTCTGGCTGGTAAACTTCCCCCCCCCACACACACATTTTTTTAATGGATCTCTTTGGATATCGTTAGTGACAATGGCATAACACTGATCCCTGCAGAGCTGTGGTGGCTCAGCTGAGCAAATCATATTTTTTGGGTAGGGTTTACAAAAGCGTTGGCTGTTTTATAAGATTTCCTGGCAGTAGATTCAATTAGAATCCAGGGGACTTTCCCCACCAGATTAAAGCATGTTTAAAGCTTGACAAATGTTAGGCATAAAACTCATTGTGTAGGGCCCTAGTGGGTAGGAGGAGAGGAATAGTGGCCAGGCTATACACAACAAGACACTCCGCATTAGAACCTGGTGTTACATTGCAGGTGCTACCACATAACCTGACAGAGCTGTTCTGGCAGGTGGTCTCTTCAGGGGGCCAGTTGGTTCATTGAAGTGATGTCCCTCCGGAGGCCTGGGTTCAAAACCGATCCATTTCAACCACGTCCATCCCAAAAGTGCCACACTTCAGCATGATGAGCAGAAATTGCCAACCTGCAACTCAAGCCTTTGAGTTCCATTGGCAGACGGCTGTGGGAGAGTCTATATCTAGCTGGCAAAGTCTGTTGTTACTTTGCTGCTTCTGAGTGCTAAAATGGGCCTCCTTTAGGCCTCTTGCTCTGTAGGGAGGTTGGAAGAATTCTCCTGGAGATGCAGGGAGGGAGGTTAGGAGTACAGTTCTTTGTAGGCAGCTGCAGTTTCTGTGGAGGGGAAGTTCTCTCCTACGCTGGTACTGGATGCACATTAAAACATGCATGTTTCTTTCAGATCTCCCAGATACCCCGGTTGACCTGGTGATAAACTGCCTGGATTGTCATGAAAATGCTTTCCTGAGAGATCAGCCTTGGTACAAAGCAGCTGTGGACTGGGCCAACCAGAACCGAGCCCCTGTCCTCAGCATAGACCCTCCTATGAGTGAAATGGAGCAGGGCATTGATGCCAAGTGGTCACTGGCCTTGGGCCTGCCCCTGCCGCTGGGTGAGAGGGCAGGGCGAGTATATCTGTGCGACATCGGCATTCCGCAGAAAGTCTTTCAGGAAGTGGGAATAAACTACCACTCACCCTTTGGCTGCAAATTTGTCATCCCATTGCATTCAACATAGAGCAGACCCTGCAGTGTATCAGCCCTAGAGGGGGAGATGGGGCAGAGTCCTGCCTAGCAAGCTGTATAAAGGATCCTGACAAGTAAACTCTTGACGCCTTAAAAGTTCTGGAGTTTGTTTCTTCCAGAAGAAATATGTGTATTAAAAACATAAAAATTAAGGGAGCAAATGTTACTGCAAGATGCTTTCTCTCTCTTGTGCCATTGGATGAAGGAATGTGGAAGAAGCTGGTATCTAACACTGGGAAAGGCAGCGTCTGGTCACCAGCCAGAGGATGGTTGAAGTGGGTGAGAGGGTTTGTTTACAGATGCAGCTGACTGTCAGACAGCTTGGAGGTTTACAAGATGATGCTCTGTTTTTCTAGTACTTCTGGGGGGGAAATTTGGCCCAGCGGGGGGCCCCTTTCAGGAGCAGAACCCCTCAATGATAATGTAGAAATGTCTTTGCTACAGTTTTACTGTTTTGATTTTGTTCTTTATTTTCTTTTATGTTCATGAGAGCAGTTATAGTTAAGTCTCTTCCTGGAGCTGCCAAGCCCCTGTGGATGGGGCTCCCTGTTTAGAAAGCGGGTGTAAAGCTTTTGTTCCTTGACCGCTTGCTGAGTGAATGCAGCCCGGGTCTGGAAACTGTAGGGGAGTGAGGTGTTTACCATGGTGTCCTTCCACCAGACAGTGCTTTGGGCAAGGCATTTTCCTAAGGTGGGTTTTTATTTCTCCAGTGAGCTGAGTAACCTCAGTGATTCGGAGAAGATGTGAGGGGAACAGGCAGATGTTACCCTCTTTTCTTTAATACCTTGTGTTCAGGTAGTGTTTGGATATATTATTGTAGAGCCTCAGTGGCCCCCCCGCAGCACACCCTGCACCTGAATACGTCTTGTGAAGCATGGCAATGTTCCATTCCCTTTGGGAGCAACAGCCATGTCGGGGGAGGATCTTCCCTCCTAAAAAGCATATGTGCTTTGTTCTAATGCACTGTTCCACATGGATCTCAATGGAGTCAGTGGAAATCATAGGGCACTTGCCTCTCCTGGTTATGCAAACTCTAAAGATGAGTCAAATGCAGTTTGTCTTAATATGCAGACAGCCTGTGAGACAGGAGCGCGTGCACAGTGTGTTAAGGGGGTGTTATGGAAGGCTTATGTTAACTCTTTAGTGGAGGAATCTTTCTCCAGGCCTGCTTGTCAGCTCACTGTAGCACTACTAGCTGTATGGCCTCCTGGGCACAGATGATGTTGGTAGTGCTACAGCAAATGCTATTGTGCTTGGCAAGCTGAGTTGTTAGGCTGCCTTCAGAAGCATCTGCAGTATTGCTCCTGTATGCACTGAAATCTGGTCCCTTATGCCTCAGGCATCACCACTGGTAGTGACCACTGTTGTATCATGTGGCTTTCAGAAAGCTTTGATCTTTCCAGCTACATCACACTTGAGGGGAAGGTCTGACCTGAATTACTGTAGGTAGTCTCACCCTTTACACTCTGCTAGCTGGTTTGGGGCTGCAGATTTTTTTCCCTATGTGCTGCAAGGAAAGTATTTGTATTCATTGCACTGCCTAGAGTGAGTGAGTTCCTGAACCTTTGGCTGGCTCTGTAAATCTATCATGCTGGACCCTTTTATTGTCTCTAAAAGTGCCAAACTATCACTGGCTAGTGATGAGAAATATTAAACTTGGACCAAAACAGTGCTCTGCCTGAGAGTTTCTGAGCTTTCCAAATTTCCTGTTCTAGCAAAACAGACCTACGTTCCTCTGCTGCAGTTTGAACTTTGCTGGGAGCATAGGCTATGCTTAAAGTTCTGCCTTCAGCATGGGACTCTACTGGCCTGGTAGGTCTGTGCTGGCACTGACTGACTTCAAAGCTTCTGTTGGTGCCTTTCCCAGGGGAGCTAGATCTCCTCTTGCTAAAGTGTAGAACAGCTGTTCTGTGTGGGTATTCAGCAACTGAACTCATGAAGAAGCTGCATGCAGAGCACCCTGTTCAACCAGCTGGGTTATGTGGGGATACAAGTCAGGCACTTGTATGTTTTTTTTTTTTTTTTTAAAGTCCTGTCACTACTCATCATAGAAGAGCTGTTAGAAACAAAGCTGAGTGCACCAAGCAAAGTAAAAAAGAGGGTGGCTGGGAAGAGACTTCCAGTATCAAAAGGAAATAAGATTGTCACTGAAGAATGGGAAAATACACCACACCCTAATCTGTAGAGCACCATTGAATGTACCCCAGGGGAGATGGCAAGCAGGTATTTCATACCACATGGTGTGGGAATGTTGGGCAGGGGCATTGGAGAATCGCCCTGCTCTTATTCCACGGTACATTGGTATCCAGGCAGCACAGTCAGGACTCTGCTGCATCTGGTCTTGTTAAAGGACTTCCCATGCCAAACAGCACAGAACTCATCTACCTCATGAGGATAAAGGTTCAGCACATTTCTCATGCGGAGGGTTAGACTACTAAACTCTGTCCACTGGTTTACGCTTAATGGCCTTAGTGCTAACAGATTATCAACGACTGTAAACTCTTCACTAACATCATTGGGTGTATCTGGCTGTAGCTGTGTGTGTGGTTCTCTGCAAGGCTTAGAGCACCTATGCCTCAGGTAAAACACTAGTTTCAGCTTAATGCAATAGCATTTAATGCTAAGGGCTGGTTATTGACAGCACGGTGAGGGGTTATCCTTGCAGCCAGCTTTAGTTTAAGGTACTGAGGATGTAGCAACTGCCTACACAAGGTGAAAAACTGATTAATCCCTGTACTGGTAACTGTCATTGCCTTGTTTTCACCTTCCTTTATAAAAGCAGAGCTATCACCTGTAAGAAAACAGCCTGCTACTTGTCTCCTCTCCTCTATTTTACAATCATCTTAAACTTGTCCAGGTTGAAGGTTGGTTATTCAACTCTGTCCTTTGTGAGCAGGGTGCAAGTTTGGAAGGGTTAAGAAGCACTTTGAATTTTTTCTTTGAAGTGTGCATCAGTGGCTGAGGTCCTACCAGCCATATTAGAAGAGGTAGTAAGAATTGCTTAAAAGGTTATTTTTTAAATAAAGAATTAAAGTAGCCAGTGTCATTGCTGCTACAGACACTTGATGCCTCTGGGCAAGTGAAAGTGTGTGGGCACTGACAGACTCATCTCAAGCACAACTAAGAGGCTTTGGGACAAGTTGTGTGTGTTACTATACTAAACTTAATGCATTCTCCCTTCTAAGTAGCACAAGGATAAGGGTGCTTGCTTTTCTTCTGACAAGCAGAGTTGTATTCTTGCCAGAGGAATGAAATCATTGGCCTTGTCCTAGACCAGATCCATCTTGTTGCACATCCATGTGATCAAGGCTTTGGGATTCTTGGCCCTTTTATTGTCACACAGCTACTACAGACACACATGCTTTATGCTGGATGCAATAGACAACAGCAGGAAGGGATACAGCCTGCCCATTTGTTAGAGCTCTTTAAGATGTAGGCTTCAAGGGATGTGAACATTTCCACCAGTGTGCAAGGACTTGGTGTAGTAAATACTCAGGAGCGGACTTTCCCAGGGCCCAGGAGAAGCAGCTGCCTATAAATAAGTACTGGAATGGACTTTGCTTTTCTAGAAAGCAGAAATGCAACTTTCACTGCTCCATAGTAACCAACAGTAGATTTAAGTTCTGTATCATTCCCTCACAGCTTGTCATAAGAAAACATGCACCCTCTTTTCAGCAGCAGTGGAAAAAACCCTGGCTTCAGGCACCCAGTGTAAAGACTATTGCATCACAACTCTGTGTAATCAAATAAATGCTTCAGTCATATCATCATTACAAACACTGTTGTTCCATAATTCATGCAGCAGCTGGGGTAATACCAGCCTTGAAATAAAGTGCAACTATTCATGTGTGTTCAGTGACTTATGTATAAGGGAAAAGTTTGCCCCACCTGCAAGAAAGAGCCCTTTTGCACCATTAAGCCAAGACATTCTACTAGTTACTTTCCTGAATAAAACACGTAAAGTGCTTCAGGACTTTAGCCAAGCACAATACAAGCAGTTACAAGTGTTTTGAAAAGGGATTTATATTTCCCTGGCAGTTATTGAAGGGGACTAGCAAATCACCAAAAAGTAACCCCAATCCTCCCCTCCAATACCACAGCCAGCCTTGAGATTAACAGTGCAGTACCTCTCTCCTACAACCTTTTACACACTAGCTAATGGAGAGGACAAAGCAAGGTTAGGCCAGACCATGCTTGGAAACGAAGGACTGCCTAGAGCCAGTAAAGCAGTAACATCTCACATTCATAATGATGCCGTTTTGTGGAGAAATATAAAACCACTCTTTATTTAACTGAAAAAATATGGCAGGGTGGGAGCAAAAAAATAGCTGGACACATTCCTACAAGTAAATTATCAAACAATAAGAAACACTTTATTTTAACTTTACAACATATAAATATGAGACATCTGTGCTTTCCATGTAGCTTTCTCCTCCCCCCTCCCATGCCCAGGGTCCATATCACATTGCACCAGTACCTCTGAACTCTGTGCTACAGGAGGGCTGATTGGAGCCTCTACAGCAGAGGTCAGACTGATCCAGGAGTATGTTCATATCCAGCAGGCATCACCACCCACCCATCTGTCATCTGCTCAGGTCACGGTTTGAGACTCGACTACACAGCATCCTTTCCTCTGGAGACAGGCCACTAAAGAACGGGTGCAGCAGAGCATCAGAGAATGTGATCCTCTTGGAAGGATCAAACTCTAACATCCTTCTCATCAAGTCAAACAGCTGCACATGGTCCGGTGAATCATACAGCAAGTAGCTCTGAAACAGAATAGTACTGATTCAGCTGTGGAAAAATGCAGGCAAACATCTGGCAAAAAACTAGACATGACCCTCCACACTAGATAGCTTGAGAGTTGGCAACACCGCTACAGCTATGGTAGGGTGCTACACCATCATACCTTTATTCCTGAGAAAGCCAAGGGAAGTTACAAGAGATTTTGGGCATTCAAAGGAAGTTTCAAAGGTTGTCCCTTTACTTCCTCCACAAGCAGACAAAGCTAGGGGTGGTAGAACCCTCTGGCAGTGGCGAGTGTCTTCCTCCACCGGCTACAGCAGCAGCTCAAAGCAAATGTTGAGGGAAGTGTCACTGCTCCCCTATCAACAGTTCCACATTTTTGGCCTCAGTGCAACTTCTGTTGAGGTGACAGCCACCTCTAGCCTGATGTGGCCCATCTTGAAGCCCCTTCCATCTCTCCCACATTCCTGCTGCATCCATGTCTATTAGATTAATTTTTATCCAGTAGAACACCAGGCAAATTTCTGATGGTCTCCACTGGTGAGAAGTCCCACCTACATACTACTACTCCCTTGTAGGGTGAAATCCCTTGGGAGCTATCATATATGTACCCTTGCATAGAGCCTCCACTCCCATCACCATAGTATCTGAGCATCTCACAATCTGTACTGTATTCATCATCACACCCCTTGGAAGGTAGGGCAGAGCTATCGCTCCCATTGGGCAGAGGAGGAACTGGGGCACAGTGACGCTAAGTGACTTGCCCAAGGTCACATAGGAAGTCGGCAGCTGAGTAGGGAATGGAATCCAGGTGTCCTGAGTCCCAGTCTAGCTCCCTGACTACAGAACCAATCTTCCTCTCCAGCACAGGGCTCCTCTGCCCTGTGATGGGGGCACAAGCTGGACCCCAACCTTCCAACAGACAAAGCCAAGGCTGCCATGCCCAGATGCAGTCCTGCACGGATCCCCTCAGCCTTCCTGCCTGGAACAGTTTGGAAGATCAGATTCCCTGTAAGCTGGGGGTTCTCCCCAAGTCCTTTCAG